AGTGCATCACCGCAGCTCTTAAAAACAGACGTTTACAAATAGAAAAAATCAGCATTAAAATGGAGATGTTTAAACCCAAAAATATATTCAGATCCCAAGCAGAGGGGCGGGTACATTCACCTCAATAGTGGAGCTATCTAAGCAAGCCTCCAGTTCCTTGGGAGCCCCAAAGCTGATTGCATGATCTGACCAGTGCAAGGGAGACAGCAAAAGTTCCCCGAAATTTAGATCACATAACCCTTGCTCCAACAGGATTACTTGATCTGGAATGTGATTTGGGCTCTGGATGGCCTGGAATAGACCTATGTCTATCAGGATGGCCATGAACTCCTGAACCATCTCAGATCCCATTCCTAGGGAAGGCAGGCTGAAGTCCCCCAGAACCATAAATCTGGGGGACTCTATTGTCAACCCAGGAATGAGATTAAGGAATTCAGGCAGGGAAGTTGTGAAGCAGGAAAGCTGGAACAAAACAGCAGCAGTCCCAACTAATCCATAGAGCCCAACATAATGAACAAGGTGTCACATCCAGAAACCTGGATTTATTCTGATCTGAGTTAAATGTAATCCTACATATTGAGTCAGTTGGCCTTTGAGCTCTGCACATATCATACGGTGGGATTCACTCTTTCAAGAAAATTGTAGTGATTTGCACGACAGACTTCTCAACTGTATGGGAGAAGTAAGGAGGAGCTATAACTGAGGAATTAAAGCATACACCTACAACACTCACTCACTCTCTCTCTCTCTCTCTCTCCCTCCCTCCCTCCCTCTCTCTCTCTCTGTATACACACACACACACACACACACACACACACAAACAGAGGGGTGAGATTCTACAGGTTCGCACCTATTCGCTAGAACTGGTTGTTAACATTCTAAGCAGTTCGGAGAACGGGTTGTTAGAAGAAATTACTGGCCTAATCCTGTAAGGAAGGCAGGAAGGAAACATTCTGGTATTGCTTTACAGAAACTGCCTCTCCATTAACCCTTATTACATTCTTGGCAGAACTAGACTTCCTGTCTCTGGAACTTCTCTGGAGTATTTTTTTCCTCCTTTGCTGGTATTTTGCTTGTGTGGAGTGACCGTTCAAAGTTACAATGGCACTGAAAAAAGTGACTTATGACCATTTTTCACACTTACGACTGTTGCAGCATCCCCACAGTCATGAGAGGCCAGGCGAGGAGATACATGCCTTGATGTGAATGATGTTGAGTTGACCATGCCCAGCCAGTCACATGACCACCAAGTCATGCTTACCAACTAAGCCACACCCACAGAACCGGTTGTTAAAAAATTTGAATCCCACCCCTCTGTGTGTGTGTGTGTGTGTGTGTGTGTGTGTGTATGTGTGTGTGTGTTTGTGTGTGTGTGTATGTATTTATATATATATAAAACATATATATATATATATATGTTTTCTGAGGTTCTCGCGGGTATTTGTATGTGGATCTTTGGTTATTCGGGTTTTCTCCCACGTAAGATTGGAAGTATCTAGGCAACGTTTCGATGAAGTCTCATTCATCATCTTCAGGCTTCTGTCTTCAGCTCTGTGCTTCTCAGAGTGATCAGGCTTCTGTATAGTGTTCGTCTGTGAGTCAGACTTTCACAGCCGTTTCTGTTTTAAATTTGGTGCTAGCCTACTGCTGTGCCAGAATGGTTTTTTCTTCATCCTGATTGGTTGGGAGTCTTGGTCTGTGTTTATTGGTCTTGGAGTTTGTTGTGTTCTGCTTGATTGGTGTTTCTAATATCTTCTGTCTCTTTTATAGCTTTTTTTGTCTTGATTGGCTGGCAACATTGTGTTTCCTGTATTGGAGGCTTTTAGTGCGGCTTGGCTCCGAGTAAACGGATGGCTATCATTTATTAGGAAGCTAGGTTTCATCTGGGTGCCTGGTTGGGGTGTGTTTCAGCTGGAGGTATCAGGGAGAGTCTATATACATACATATACCCCCCCCTCAATAAAACACATTATTTGTCTCTAAACTGGTTGCCTTCAATAGAATTTTTAAATATACATGTAGACGAATAAGTTAAAAAGATATATGACAGAAAACAAATCCATTCTGCCACATGTGCTTCACATTTATCTAATTTATAAAGTGATACATCTCCCATTTTCCTTGAAATATTTTTTGAACAGAATGAATGAAACAGCCCCATTGAGCCTATCTCCATCTTATTATGAGCTCTGCGGAAATCTTTCAAAAAACACTGCAGAGAAAAATGGTGACAGTGAGTTAGGGATGAAGTATACAGGCAGAAAAATAACTTTATGGAATGAGATGTCAATTAGATCAAAAACAAATTAGTATCCTGTTGGTATAACTTGTAATCTCTACAGAATAATTTACTCAGCGTTCACATATCAGATTAAACTATGGTTTTCTTTAATATGGACAGAGTTTGCATAATACACAAAGCCAAAAACTAAATGAACTGCTGTATGACTTTGGGTATATTTGGTCCTGGGATTATGACCATTTGCTCCGTAATTGTTCAAAGTTACAATGGTGCTGATGATGGGGACTTACAACCAGTCTGCAATCATCGCAGCATTGTCACAATCATGTGATCACCTAGCAATCAACCTGCAATTACAATGGTTATAGCTTCCAATGGCCACGATTACCATTTGCACCTTTTCCTGCCCACTTTCCACAGCAAAGTCAATGGAGAAGTTCTCCTGCCATTTTTTTCACCCACCAACTCAGGCTTCAAAATGCTTCGAAGTCTCCAGCACCCACATACTGTAGTGCCCACCTGTAGCACTTGCTCAACTCCTCACTCTGTGGCACCCTTCCACAGCACCAAATGCTACTCTGCAGAGCACTTCATAGAACCGATCAGCTCTTTAGCCTCTTCGGCATTAGTGGTTGGGGCATAGACTTGGATTACTGTGGTGTTGAACGGTTTGCCTTGTATTTGAACTGAGATCGTTCTGTCATTTTTGAGACTGTATCCCGGCACAAGTGGTCCTTGACTTATGACCACATTTGAGGCAAAAAAATTCTGTTGTGAACTGAACCATTTGCTAAGTGAGTTTTGCCCCATTTTACGACCTTTCTTGCCATAATCATTAAGTGAATCACTGCAGTTGTTAAGTTAGTAACATGGTTGTTAAGTGAATCTGGTTACCTTTGCTTGTCAGGTTACAAATGATAATCACATGACTCAGGAATACTGCAACCGTCATAAATATGAGTCAGTTGTCAAGCATACGAATTTTGAACAAATGACCATGGGGGAATGCTACAATGGTCATAAGTGTGAAAAATGGCCATAAGTCGCTTTTTTCAGTGCTGTTTTAACTTTGAACGATCACTAAATGAACTGTTGTAAGTCGGGGACTACCTGTACTGCTTTCTCCATTCTTTTATTGACTATGAAGGCTACTCCATTTCCTCTAAGGAAATTCTTGCCTACAGTAGTAGATATAAAGCTATCCACTGTTTCAATGTATTCTTTGTTAACTGCTTTAAGGTTGGTTGCTGTAGCTATTGTTACTTTGGTATTCTTTATATTTAATTTTAGTCCCACGTTGTTTTCACCAACCAGTCATTCAAAACTTATCTTCTTCAAATGTCTCTTCTCGTTGCCTGCTTGTCAACAGCCATTAGGATTAGTACCAAATATCCTTGATTCTTTGGCATTAGGCTTGGAAATCTGAAGAGCTTCAAAATAATACTGAAATAAAATGACATTTTATATATCGGTATTTGAGATTGTACTCCACTGTATTAAATGTACTTAATATATTTACACCCAAACACCCACACACACGTGTTTGCCTTTCTAAGTAATTTATTTTTAAAAGTCATGGATAGTACTGGTCATCCTCGTCTTACGACCACAATTGAGCCTAAAATTTCTGTTGCTAAGTGACACATTTAAGTGAATTTTCCTCCATTTTATGACCCAAAGGTACTTTTTCAAGAGGCAACTGGGCTTTCTGGGTTTTCTTTGAAGACAACCTGCTAAAATTCAGCAATAGAGTGCTCAATGTTCAGCAATAGAGTGGTCAATGTCTGGAATACTCTACCCGACTCTGTAGTTTCTTCCCCAAACCCCAAAAACTTTAACCTTAGACTGTCTACTATTGACCTCACCCCTTTCCTAAGAGGTCTGTAGGGGGCGTGCATAAGCGCACCAACGTGCCTATCGTCCCTGTCCTATTGTTTCTCTTATTCTTCTTTTATTTTTCTTATATGTACCCATTTCATGTATTCACAACTATGTATACACTTATACTTATTATCTTGTAAACAATTGGCAAATCAAATAAATAAATAAATAAATAAAATAAATAAATAAATAAAAGAATGCAAATGACCAGCTGTCTGCAAGGAGTATAAAACTTTCCATTCCACACCATCTGGCCAGAGGTGAAGAAGTTTCTTGGATGAGAAAAGTTAAACATCTTCAAAGAAAAGCCAAAAAAAACCCCACTTGCCTCTTGAAAAAGCACTTTTGGGACAACCATGACCTGGGTGACTGAGAATCTCCATTTTATGGCCTTTCTTGCCACATTTGTATCAAAAACTACATCAAGAATAGACTCAGGAAACCTCCTGCTGTTGTAAAATTCCCACACTGTTACAGTAACTCATTTACTTGAGAGTAAATACGGTTGAATTCAGACGGGCCTATTTCGAAATGGACAGAGCACAGGATTGCCTAAGAATTAGCTTTCAATGGTAGTTGCTTTCAAATAGTTAGCTTTCAATGGTACCGCCTGATTCTCTATTTTGTCTATGAAGAAAGTAAGCCTTCTCTTCCTTCCCACTTTTCCTAGAATTTCCGAAGAAGGCAGGCTCCAAATAACGCCCAGAACTACGGTGGTTGTATGTGTGGTTTTTTTTTAAAAAACCACTTTTTTCAAATTGCCAAGAATCCGTTGTGATTTCATCTAAGGGCGGAAGTAGGAACCTTTCGAACCGGGAAAGCTCTCTGACGCTGGCGGAAGTGCGTAAAACTCCGGGCGGATATAAAAGTGTTCAAAGGGCTTTCGTTTCTCCTCCCTTCTCGGTTGTTAGGAGGGGGCCTGGCTCCAGCTGCTCAGTACTGAACAGGTGAGGAAGAGGAAGGGCGAAGGTTGCGTGGTCTTTTTCTTTTTCTGTCTTGCAAAGACGTAGGCGGGAGGGGGTTGCTTACAGTATTGTGTTTCCCACGGGGGGTGTCGGGGCCAATACGGGGGAGAGAATTGCTAGGATAGAAGCCTTATTTATTTTTGGGCTGTAGGAATCCTGGGAATTGTAGTCCCCACAATGCTGGAGGGCATCACCTGGGGGAAAAGCTTGATATATCTGGGGAAGATTTGAATGCTGTGGGAAAGGGGGGCCTCATTTTATTTGTGGTTAAGCTTCTACCTTTTTATTTATTTTTGCAATGCCTTAAGAGTCCCAGAGGGCTAGTCTTATCAGTGATCTATTGAACTACCAGCTGTTCTCCAGGGTGTAAGTCTTGAGTTTCTTAAAGTAAGGGGTGGGGAAACTTAGAATTTTGTTGTGGAATTTTGTTGGGGCGTGCATAAGTGCACCATCATGCCTACCGTCCCTGTCCTATTGTCCCCATTTATTCGTACCTATTTCCTGTATTCTTACTCATGTTTATACTTATATCATCTTGTAAGTGATTGACAAATCAAATAAATAAAAATAAATAAACTGTCACCTTGGGGCATGTTTGTGCTGTGGTTATCATCAAACCACCAAGCTGATTAGCTAGGTTTTTCTTGTACTGGTTTTCACGGCCAATTGTTTATGAACCATGGAATGGACTTCCAAACAATGCTTTGGCCTGGTATCACCTGCCATTTTTATTTTCTACGATATGAGCCCAAAGGCATTTTTATAAATATGTTGGAAGAATGTGCTTCTGGAAGTTGGCAACCCAGTTCTCTTTTTTTACATTGAGAAAATATGTGTTTAAAAAGTTGGAGTAGGACAAGTGTGTGTGTGTTTCCTGATTTAAATTCAAGGTAGCTGAAAATAGGGATGCTATGATGTAGTAACACAAGGGCTAGAGAGACTAATATTCAAGATTGCTCTTATCCATGGCATCTTACAGAGTGACTATAGGCCACACACTTTCTCTTGGCCCAGCCTACTTCACAAGGCTGTTGGGATAAAAATAAAGGAGGGTCTCTATGGAAACTGCCTTCAGCTTTTTGAAGAAAAGTTTATCTAATAAAGTATGATTTAAAAAAAAACTATACCTGGCATAGATTTAATTCCATTTAGTTCAGAAGAGCTTGCTTCTGATAATAGGAATGCATTGTAAAGAAAACAGATACTCCTTTTTAAAATTTAATGTTATTCTGTCTTATTTTTACTAGCTTAATGCATCTGAATGTGTTGGATTGCAGTTCTCATGCTCTACAGACACCTTATACCCATTCTGGCTTATTTTACCAATTTGTCTAATCAGAATTGGAATGGTTTTCAACTGTTACTCTTTCAAGGTTTAATTTCAGTTTGTAGTGTAGATCCCTTGTGTCAGCCTCCACAATCTTTTCTCTGAAATCCTATAAGCACTAAAGTCACCGTCATGCATTCAGGGAAAAGAGCTCAAACCTAGAGAAGCTTATGAAGGCATAATGTTGTTAGAGTTTAAGACAATGTTTCTCAACACTTTTAAAGTGGAAACCCTAGGTAAATGTATTTAGCCTCTTCAATTCCATGGATACTGTCTCCATCATTCAATCCCAAACTTTTTTCTTGACCAATGTAGAAGAGCATTAACTCTTAGATTACAAGACAACTGTAGAAGAGCCTTGAAGCAAATATGTAATGACCATTAGTCAGGCATGAACTTATTCCAGAAGAACAAGAAAGTTTGAGAAAGAAATTGAAGACAGCCCTGCCCTGACAGTGTGGTTTAAGAAGAGAGCGAAAAAACTGGATCTGAATTATCAAATCAATATATCCTGGCCTCATTGCCTGGGGAAAAGCCAGTCTTCACCTCCTTCCCAAAAGCTAATAAGGTCAGGATCAGCCATATCTTTTGAGGGAGGCTGTTTCATAAGGAAGGCACTATAGTAGAAAAGGTATGCCTCTTTAGGCCTTATCAGGTGACACTGTTTCACCATAGGGACCTGGAGCAAAACTAATTTGCCAACCTTCAGTCCTACAAACTAGTCCTACAAATATAGATCGTCCACAACTGAGCTTAAAATTTCTGCTAAGTGAATTTTGCCCCCTTTTACAACCTTTCTTGTCACAGTTAAGTGAATCACTGCAATTATTAAGTTAGTAACAAGGTTGTCAAGTGAATCTGGCTTCTGCATTGAAGGTGATCGCATGATTCCGGGATACTGCAACCATCATAAATATGAATCAGTTGCCAAGCATCTGAATTTTGATCATGTGACCATGGGGATGCTGCAACAGTCATAAGTGTGAAAACAGGCATAAGTCACTTTTTTTCAGTGCTGTTGTAACTTTCAACCATCACTAAATGAACTGCTGTAAGTCGACCTGTAACATGGAGGCTTAATCCCTCTAATCAGCTGATTTCCCCAACTCTGTTGTAAATTACTTGCCTGGGAATTGATCCTTCTTTCTCAATGCTGCTCTGTTTTCTCATTAGCACCCTCCCAAGCACTGGGAGGAATTGAACATGGCTACCATGTGACCAAGCCACAGTTGTGGCACACACACTCTTTTAATGTAAGTGGCAATGGATAAGACTTTGCAAAGTGAGTGTGTATGTGGAGGCAGCCAGGAAAAGCTTTTGAATAGATGAGTCTTGCAAAAGACATGGTTGCATTATTAAAAATTTGATGAGGCATGCTTTGTTTGCAAATTGCAAAGCGTTCCAAATGTGCAAAATATTTATTTTGAATACTTTGTATAGCCCTAATAAGCGAGTCCTTCATGTTATACAAACATAGCCAATGAGTCATTGGCTGAAATAGGAATTGAAGCTTGCTTTTTTTGCATCTTCGTTTTCCAGTACAGGACATCAAATGCTATTCTCATTTTTGGATATTGAATTACAATTTAGTTCTCAAAATGCTTCCGTGTATTACATTACTGAGATAATTCTTTCAAGAGCAATAAATAAAATAGTCTCAGGATATTGTACCTTGAGAGTAGCTGGCTGAAGGCCAGCCAGTAAGCCTGGATTTGAATAAGTTTTGCTGGATCTGGTCAGAGGTCTTTGATTTACTCTTATCTTCTGCTCCCACTTTCCTTAATTCTGCTCAGCTTTCAAAAAGGGTATAAAGTTGGTGTGTTTATATTTGACTTTTATTCTGTTAAACAAAGTTCACAGTATTATGCATGGCTTTCTAGGAGGAGAACTCTTATTGAGTCATCTTATCAGAACCAGAATTGAGTTCAATATCTGAATTACCAGGTGCCCTCAAACGGTACTGTGCACCAGTTACTATCTCTCCAAGTAATATCTGTTCCTGGATCTTACTTCAAATGCTTTGCTTTTATAGATGGTCCTCGACTTACAATCAGTTAGTTAGCAACCATTCAAAGTTATGACAGACTCTGAAAAAGCTATTTCCGACCCAGAGTTGAAATTACAGGTACAACAGTGGTGGGATTCTACCGGTTCAGCCCAACCAGTAGTTCCGAGAATCATCTGTGAGCGAACGGATTTGCTCCGACGATCAGCTGTTGGTCCCACCCATCCACCCCGGCTCTATTCTGACCTTTATTTCCTGGTTTTCAAGCTCAGCTGGTTCATGCAGCACAGTAGATTGCTGCGCGTCAGCTGTTTAACACACAGGGAGAATGCAGGATTGCAGGAGAAGGTCAGTAGCAAACTCTCACGGAACCGGTTGTTACACCAGTTGAATCACACCCCTGAAGTACACCCTCCCCATCACATTTTGGGTACTCAGCAATCAGCTTGGCTCCCGTTTGTGGCCATTTGCAGCATCCTATGGTCACATGACTGCAATTTATGACATTTTTTATGATTTCCAGTTTCCACAAGCAACACGCCATAGTGAACAATGGGCTTGCTTTATTTTTATTTTTTTTGAAACAAATTTTATTAATTTTACAGACAAACAAAGCATCATTAGACATTAAAGACATTAAACCTCTTTCCATTATAAATTTTTACAAGGCAGATAAAACATTGTTGTATACAATATAATTCTAATATATCCCATTTCCACTTCAATATTTTTTTAGCAGATTTCTCATTATTTCTCTTTGCTCTTATTCAATTACATTTCTTCTATATTTATCCATTTTATACTCATCATATTCATATTTCCCTCTGCCTTGTTTACAAATATTCCTCTCGCTTTCTCCCAAGGTTTTATTAAATCTCAATCAAACATACAGACACAAAACACAAAAACATAAAACTTCTTTTTAAAAAGTAGCTTGGCCCCGGATTACCTCTCTTTATATGGACTTCAATTAGATTCGTGTTCAGCTTATATGCCATTACCTATCTTATTACCCTTCTATATCTTCATTATAACTTCTCCCCGCTTCCCACTCTTCTTAATTCTATTTTATTTATTTCATCTTAATTTAAATCATTATATTTGTATCTTTTGTCCATTCTTTTCCAATTATCCATTTATCTCATTCATATTAGAAAAAAAATATTTCTCCTGAAATCACTAATCGAAGTATGATGCCTTTCCATCACTCCCCTAAATTAACATTTAAGGTAACACCTAATTCCCTATCTAATTCTGCTTAGTACATTCTACTTACTAAAATAGTAAATCCATAAAGTAATTAAATATATAATTAAACATTAAATCTCATAGCATTCCAATTATCTATTTCAAAAACAAATACCATAATAATAAGTTCATACAAACATCCACACAATAGTCAATTAAACTCTATACTTAAACTAAATATTTTAAACATTCCTTTTAATATTTTATTAAATTTTAAAATCTATCATTATTAAACCTTTAATGTTTTAATCTTTACTTAAGACTTATTAAATTCTAATTTTCTATTTCTAATACAAATACTACAATACTATCATGTACCTTGCAGAAACATTTTGGAACAAAGTTATGCATTACCCATTATCCCTAAAAAAAGATTTCTTTTCCACATCTTGTTTCATACCT